TGGAGACAATTAACCATTGTGTTTGGCCAGGTCGGAAAACAACATTGGGGGGTAGATATCTGATCTCCTCTGGCTTTCCTATTGCCTTGAAGCAGAGGTGAGACATGCCTCCACCCTCCACCTTTATTTACCTATTCTACCTCAAACCCACGAAACCCTACGTATAGCTGGATTCAATAATTTGTTGCAATGGCCACATAGAACTCCCCCCGGACAATGCTCACAATTAAGGGGAAATTGGGGAAGTTAACACAAGCCAGGATCAGAAAACACTGAGAAGAGTCATTGGTCCACAGCAATACCTCTCCTCAGCCAGCAGCCAAGTCTCTCTCTAGTCTTCAGCCTCTCAGACATGTGATCCCTTGGCCTCGGCCTCCATGGGTCAGGAAGTCAGCCTGCTGATCTGCTTCACAGTCTCATAGTCCTTTTTAAAAACAAAATAAATCCTTATACTGGGGGCTCTTACAGCTCTTATAACATTCCATACATCAATTGTATCAAGCATATTTGTACATAAGTTTCAGTCATCGTTTCCAAAACGTTTTCTACTTGAGCCCTTGGTATCAGCTCCTCTTTTTTCCTGTCCCTAATGAATCCTTGATCAATTATATATTGTCATTATTATTATTTCGTGTCTTACACTGTCCCTTGTCTCCCTTCACCCACATTTCTGTTATTCGTCCCCTTTGGGGTGTGGGGGCTATATATCCAATCTTGTGATGCGTTCCCAACTTTCTCACCCTTCCCCCCTCCCTGACCATCCTCCTATCCTCATGATATCACTGCTCTCATGACTGTTCCTGTGGGTTTTATCTTTCTTGAAATCTATGTGTTGAGAGTGCTTATCTGTACCAATGTATGTTCTCTGATCTAACCAGATTTGTAAGGTAGAACTGAGTCATGGTAGTATGGGGGAGGTGGGGAGGAAGTATTCAGGAACTAGAGGAATGATGTGTGATTCATTGGTGCTATCTATACTGCACCTTGGTTGAATCATCCCTTCCTTATAACCCTTCTGTGGGGGGATATCCAATTGTCTACAGATGGGCTTAGGGTCTCCACTCCAACCCACCTCTTTCACATCAATATAGTTGTTTGCTTTGGATCTTTTGATACCAGATGCCTGATCCCATCGACACCTCATGATCACACAGGCTGGTGTGCTTCTTCCATGTGGGCTTATTTGCTTCCCTGCTAGATGGCTGCTTGTTTGACTTTAAGCCTTCAAGACCCCAGACGTTATAACTTTTGGTAGCTGGGCACCATCTGCTCTCTTCGCCAGATTTGCTTATGCATCCACTTTGTCTTCAGGGATCCTGTTGGGAAGGTGAGTATCAAAGAGTGCCAGGTTATCAGAACAGTGTTTTTGTGTTAAGGGAGGCCTTGAGTAGAGGCCCAAAGTCTGTCTGCTATCTTAACACTTATCATACATTGGCCTCTATCCCTTTCATTATAAATTAATATATTTACATATATACGTGCCTATAGCTATACCTCTATACATAGCTCTCTTTTTTTGACCTTTAATGAATAGATTTATTGAGGGAGGTGAACTCTGTAGGGAACAGGAAATAAAATGAAAGGAGTTTTGGAAAGTCAGGTAAAGAAAGGTTAGAGCTGGCCCTTAGTCTAAAGCCAGAGATATACATAGCATTCGCCTCCTATTTCTTTCCTCTATTTCCTTTTACCTTTCTCCTATCCCACTATCATGCTCACCCTCCATTCGGCTCTCAGTATTTCCTCTCAGATACATTGGTCTTGATCAAGCACCACCAGGCATTATACGCCTCCTCGCCATCAATTTTAGATCTCTTGTTATTCCCTTATCTCTGTGTTTCTTGGCTCCCCACTCCCCTCTCCGCCCTCTCCTCCTCTCCCATGTCCCCCTGGGAATGGCAGGTCCTGCTATATTCTCGGTTAAATTGTTCATCCTGCCTATCTTATATAGCTAGACATAGGGCAAAAGAAACAATAAATAAAACATAATCAAACAAACAAACAAACAAGGAAAACAAAACAGAAGAGAACAGAGGAAAAAACAATAACAACCAGATAGTTCCAGGTCTGTCTGTTGACCCTTATGTATGTTTTCCGATCAAGTCTGATGAGGTGCCAAGTCCTGTCCCCCAAGTCAGAGGTCTATTTTCAGGATTTCTTGGGGACTTGATCACAGTCTCACAGTTTTGACGCTACTCCACTGTTCTGTCTCATGGTCTCCTTGTCTCTGCCTCTGGTCTTGGCTTGGCCCCTTTGCTGGGTCCCATGGTCTCTGTGCTGCAACCTCTGGTAATGGCCTCTGCCTCTTCAGACGGAGATCTCAAACGTGCTCCACTGGTGGCCCTGCTTCCTTGATGGTTCTGGGATTGTGTTCTGTGTTTCTCAGGTGGCTCTTATATGCAAAGGCAAGGCTTTGATGGAAGTGTTTGTCTTTCATCAGATTATATCCTCAAGCAAACAAAGGATGGTGACTTGATTCACACCCTCTAGTATAGTGGTTCTCAACCTGTGGGTCTCAAACCCTTTCTCAGGGGTTGCCAAATTCATAACATTAGCAAAATTCAGTTGTGAAGTAGCAACAAAAATAATTTTATGGTTGGTGGGGGTCACCACCACATGAGGAACTGTATTAAAGGGTTTAGGCATTAGGAAGGTTGAGAACCACTGCTTTAGTAAGATATGAACTCAGACTTTAACCCAATTTAATCCTGTCATTAGCATAGCAGAGAACGCCCTCCAAAATGGGATTATGGCCTCAGGCATAGAGGCTAGGGTGTGCAATACATCACACAAAGGATGATGGCCATATTAACTAACTACATCTCACTGGCTTTTCTAGAGAAATAAAACCAGGATGCTTGAACATGTATAAGAAAGCAATGTATATCCAGAAAGCAATGTATATCTAGAAGGTGACTCACATAGCCACAAAGCAGGAGAGTGCAGTCCAACTCAAGTCTGTGGATCAGATGGTAGCAGGAGAGACTTCCCAATTGATGCAGTTGCCAGCTGTTAAAAATGGAGGAAATGAAGCAGGAGATGAGAAAGCTGCAGGCCGGTGGAGACAGAGTTGAGTGAATCTGAAGTAGAGAACATGGCAGGCAGGTCACATAATGGTCACCAACCTAAGTCCCAGGAAGCCAAATTCAGGATGTAACAGCAGGAAGGAGAAGAGAGGAGGAATTTCGTTACAACATTTCTTTTTAGATATCAAATAGGTCACACCCCAAGGAGACTTCGTTTGGCTGTGATATGTGTGAGAACTTGCCAAGTTGACACAAAACCTAACTATCACAGCCAAGTATGCCATTTTCTTTTACTCCTGACTCCTATTCCTCCATTGCTCCAGGTTAATAGAGACCAATTGTGTCTTGGATGGCCACTTGCAAGCTTTTCAGACCCTATGCATTTGCGTAGGAAGTAGAACAGAAGCAATGAAAATGGTATTAGGCCAATTATCTGCAAAATCTCATGGAATTATAATCCTTAATCTCCAAGCCAAGTATGTACACATTTTCAAAATGTCAAAACATTAAACAAAAAAAATCTTGCTTGCAATCATTAGTTATAAGAGAAATATAAATTAAAACAATAACAAGATACTACCTCACAACTACACTCTTAGAAAAATTCACAAAAGTAGAAAATAAGAATGCTGGAGAAGATGTAGAGAGATTGGAACCCTCAAACATTGCTGGTGGCATTGTAGACTTGCACATTGTGGGATGCAGAAGGGTTGTCCCCCAAATATATGCCAAACCTAAGGAGCTGCATGCAACACATGTTAAATGTCTGTACACTTGGAGGTCAACGCCAACTGCTTAGAGGTTATCTCCCTGAGGTTATCAGCCATTTAGAGCAATCAGACTCTATAGTCTGTCCCACCCTGAGTAGCACCCACCCAAGCTGATAAGGATGGTGGATTGTTTCCCTGAGACAAGGAGACAAGGTCAAGCCAATTCAAGGAGGACCAAGGTTAGGCTGCCATCTTGAATCTAGGGTCCGCCCATCTTGTCACATGTGTACCCTTAGGGCTGCCCCTTCTGATTGCTTGCACTCCTCCAGTTGATGTATGCCGATTGTAGAATCCATTCCTGTTATAATGTGATCAGGGGGCTTGCATGTCCCTGAAAGTGTATATGTGATGTGACTGGAAATATAGATGCTCTCTCTGCACGGATCTGGCTGCTGAGATCATGGCCGTCCAGGAGGTGAGCAATGGCATGCCTTCTATTGTCTGATGTCTCTTTAATTTTACCCCTCAATTTCACATCTGCCCCTTGGACCCGTTCAAATCGTGGGGGCTAGTACTCCACAGTACATCACTATGGAAAATGGTACAGTGCTTCCTTAAACACAAGTAGAAAATACTATATGATCCTGCAATGTCTCTACTTGAAATATACCCCAAATAAATAAAGAACAGAACATGAACAGATATACACGCACTCATTTTTCTTGCATCCATGTCTTTAATAGCAAAAAGATGGAAGCAATAAAAAAAAAACCATCTGTGGAGGAATGAATCAGTAAATTCTGGTACTACCCACATCGGAGTATTACGCATCCTTGAGTTATCCATGTGTTAAGACTGTCAAACACCTCATGACATGGACACAATTAGAAAGCATGATACTTGCCAAAGTTAGTCAATCCCATAAAGATAAATATTTCACGACACCATTTATTATAAAGGAAAAAAAGGAAAAAATTGGTTTTTACACCAAAGGAAAAGACTTTGAAGACTACAAGAAGTTGCAGGGTGGAGCGGAGAGAAGGGGAGGAGCAAAGAGGAAAGGAGGAGGGGTGGGTGGAAGGAGGGAGGATGGAGGGGAAAGATTAAAAAGGAGAAGAAAGAAGCACAAACAAGGGGCCTGGCAGTGTCTCCTGGGATACTGTCACTGTCTGATGTGATGGGCAGTGCTACTCTGTGTGTCACATGCCACAAATGAAAGGGAAAACAACATTTAAAGAAACGAGAGAGAGCGTTCACAGGCTTAAAAACCCTCCTGATTCCATACCCATTAGATCTGAACATTGGTCTCAGTGCTTATAAAAAGAGGAAAAGAAAAATTGAAAGTGACTTCGTTTCTTTTATGATACGCGAGCTAGTTACAAACAAGCAGAAAAGAATCTTCCTGAGTGTATTACCTCAGTGGATGTGATCTTATGATGTCAGTGATTCCGTCCGGCTATTAATAGCTTCAGGTCAATCTGAGGCTGTGCATTGCCCTTTTGAGAAATTTGGTTGGTTTCTTTGCAGAAGAAGGAGTCCCGCAAGATTTTTAGAAAGTTCTTTCCTTTGCTCCAAGAGAAAATTAATAGCTTTAAATATAAATTTTAAAACAAAGTGTGAAAGCCTTTCAACATATGAGTCCCGAGAACCAGGCACAATGCCATTAGATTCCTCAAAATACCCTAAGATACAGGCGGCAGCTGCATTTAATTTCTTGCCCTGTTCAGACTGTAATTACTCTGCCTAACTTGTACAAGCTCTTTTACATAGCTCTTACAGCCTTGTCAAGATATGAGAATCTTACTTATAGTAGCAAAATGTTCACTGAAATGAGAATATAAACTTCTGGCCTTTAAAGTTCTCAAATGTTAAAGTCAAAATATACTTAGATTTTATCATTTGAGGAGAATAGAGTACAACATAGCCATATAAAACTAAAAGAGTACCAAATAATTTGCTGTTTGTGTTCCGAATAAGAGGAAAGATGATGACAAGCAATTTTATTAGGCCAAGACGTTTTTTAACTTTTGGGGGGAAGTTCTCTAACTTTTGTTCCTCCCAACCCCCTAACTTGTTAAATTAAACGCCCCGAGGAGGGCAACAAGCCATGTCTAACTTCTTAACCTAGGAGCCAGTGCCTCAGTCCTCTTCAGCTTAGTGACTAATGTAATTGATTTTAGCCTCAGACCATTAAATAAGAGTAAAGTCTAATGTCAGGTTATCTTTGTTCCAAAACAGTTCTGCCATCCATTCCCTGTAGTGTGTTGGGAACATTGTCTAAACTGGGTTTTGTCTTATTGTTTGTTTGTTTTTCAGTCTTTTAAGAGGGGAGAAAGAACAGTAATGCTTATTTAGGATTTTGGAGTTTGTATTATTTTGGACCAGGGATAAATCTCAGTCATGTTAGTTGGTTAAATCTTAATAGACAATAGGCAAAACTTGTCTTTTACATGCTATAAAATGTTTTCAAAAAGCTATGACTTTGAAAAGGTTTGTAAGAATAACAATAAGACTGTATAGCCTTTACATTGGATAAGCAAAAGAGTAAGAGTTATCATCTCTTGCACGCCAGCGAATTCCTGGCTGCTCTTGTCACACTCAGTTCATGTTTACCTTGCTGTAGCATTTCCAAAGGTTTCCACTAAGTCAAAAGCTTGTCCTCTGTCTCTTCCTGAATGTTCTTTCAAAATTATATCAGGTTGTGTGGAGGCCTCGCACGTACATCAAAGATCCTCTCTTCTCCTCACTCGTCTCTCTCTCTTTCCTTCATTCTTTCTTTCCATAAAGATTTACTAAGCATGCATCACATAGGAGGCAACCTGCCATGGTTCCGTACAATAGCAAAAACCATGGGTACCCAGAGACGAATCTTCGCATTCTTCAGAATGCTGGCTCCAGGCCAGAGAGGCCAAGGCAACAGCCAACTTCCTGGGTAGAGTCTACACAGCTTGTCAAATGCTTCCAGGGCTCCTTCAGTGTTTTTAAATTTTGATTTATATCTGGGGCAAAAATAAAGCACAGATAAGATTTGTTAAATTCGATAACTTCTATTTCTCGAAGATATTTTTAACATAGCCTTTTTTTTGGAAAGCTGACAACAGTCAGATGATAGCAGCAAAAGAAGAGAAGCAGTATTTTTCTGTGCTGTTTGTGTAAACTTTTAATCTTCCACATTTCTGAAATGACAATAAATTAGAATATCTTAAACTTGTAGATGACTCTTTTCTCTAGCTTGAGGTGGAACAGAATTGAGGATTTGACTTTCACAGAATTGTTATGGAATCCATTCTGTTCCTTTTTCTCAAAGAATGGTCTAATTCTCCCATATCTTGTACTGTGGCCATTTCCCCCACAGATCTCTCCTCTAAAGCATGAAAGCAGCCTCTCCGTGTCTGGGCCTCAGGTACGGAGGGGCTGTTGGGTTATGAATTATTTTATCCATGGAAGGCACACATTCATTCACTCACTCGGCAACCCAGCAAAATCTGGGTTGACCTTGGACTTTTTAGAAAAGTTCATAAACATGAAAATAAGCTTTAATCGTTATTCTATTCTAGTATCTTTTTTTTTTTTTT